GGGTAAATGTCGTTGATGGCCTAAACCGGTATAGTAGTGATAATAGAGAGATGTCCAGCAATAATTTGGAGGTAGGAATAACAAAATGTAGTGATCATTTAAAAGCTTTAAATTCAGAGAGGGAAGAAGTCAAAGATGACTGCGAGTTTCCTGTTGCAAACAAGTGGGTAGGTGGTTATTGCCTTTGTTTGAAATGGGGACCCCAAGGAAAAGTTCTGGTGTAGGGATTGTGGGGGTTAGATTATAAGGACTGAAAACCCACATCAATTCCTCCACATTGTTTGCTGTGTCATATTTATTTACAGCTTAAATTTTTCCAAGGCTGAGAATGCTTCTAGTTCCAATTCAGTTTAAAGGGTGTTTATTGATTTCTTGGACATCAGTAAATTATCTCAGTGGGTGTTATAAGAATCCGTAATGAATTTATAGTGTGTAGAAGGCTACAGTATCCTACGGTTTTTCATAAGTGCAAGCAGAAAAAAAAAATTCTCAAGATAATAGTGATAATGATTTCAAAAATTTGAGAATAGTTTGAGCAATCATATCTTGGACATTAGTGGAATGAAAAACATCTTATTTCTCTGTTTTGGCAAAGAACATCTTATGGGGATCTTCTAGAGTGTCATTTGTAGGGATAGAGAATGGAATGTTTAAACATTCTGTGAAAGAGCAAAGAAATGTCCATGAGGAACCATAACAATGAAAGTTCAAAAGCAATATAAATGACTGCCTATGTGATTGGCAGCTCCAACATAATGAACTCAGCTGTCTGTGAAGCTTTGCAAGTTACCACAATTGTAGATAAAGGCCTCTCTGATATTATCTTCCATGATTGGTATCCAAGCAAAGACACTAGATTAGTTTCATTTGTTAAAACAAAAGGCTGGTTTCAAAGGAAGCCTCTGCTGCCATTTGCAGATTTGGTAGGAGAACAACTCACTTTCTCCTTTAACAGGGAGAAATATTCATCATTTTAATTTGTCTAGGGGAAGGGATAAGCTGCTAATTGCCTTTACAATACCAGGAGATGTTGATTTACCACTATTAGTAGCCATTGCTCAGTACTAATATTTTGAGACACTTTTTGGCATTTTTTTTCATAGTTAAGCAGAGATATAAAGAATTGATTGCTTTTTCACATGACTTCACAATTAATATTATAATATGAAATAACGGGAAAATAGAACAATTTTATGGAAAATATGTCTGCATAATTAGAGACTTGCAAATTTCTTTCTTCCTTCAATGCGTATATTCAACAAATGGCAAATGCTCAACACCATTATTTTGAAACTGAAAATATAATTGTATTTCTTTCAAAGAATAAAGTTTTCTGGATAAAGCATTTATGCATTTAATGCAACACTAGAGTAACTGCCTAAAAGAATCACTTTAATCAGTAAACAACTTCATTTGATCATTTTTAATAATTCATATTTTATCATAGAATGAATGTTTATGTGGGAAAAATAGAAATAAAAATATATTTTTAAAAAGGCAATGAGAAATCACTGTACGCTAATACGAGTGATAATTGCTGTGAACATTTTTGCATATATTCTTCTAATCTCTAGATAGAAAAAAAGAAAAACAATTAACTTATATACCTTGAACATTTCCCCATTCATTTGTACTTCATTAATTATGACTGTGTTAGGTTAAATTATGTAGATTAATCAAAATTATTCAAACTCTCGTAACTGGGATTTTAGGTCGTTTTAAATATGCTATAAGCAACAGAGCAATGAATGTTTTGGAACTAAATCTTTGGCCGTCCTTAGTCTAAATCATTAGAAGTTAAAATGTTGAGATAAATGGTAAAATAAAAAAATGAGTTTTTTCATGATCTGACAATTTTCATGATCCTTTATTCCTTATATCAACTTTAAGTTTACATTTATGTCTTGTGTCTATTCATTAATTTTCTACTTGGTACTTTAACTTGTTAGAAAGCCTTAGGGATTCTGAGCTAAATAATGTATAGATAATGGCTGTAAAGGAGCATATATGTATCGGGATGAATGACAGATACTTTATAATACCAAAGGGCTGAATAGCATGAATGGTGGATAGGAGAAGGGATTGAGTGCCACCTGCCTATGGAACTACCAGGCACATCTAGAGGTCTAATTGGTTAAATGAGCTCCTGCTGGGTTTAGGATTAAAAGAACAGATCATGAGGGGCAACTGGAATGGTTGGTAGTGGGAATATTTTAAATAAGAGGTACAGTTTGTAAAGTCAAGAGCCATAAACATTTTGGTTTTCTTTTTAAAAGTGGCCATCACCTGGCCAACCCATCAGGAAAACCAGAAAGCTTTGTCCACCCAAGCACTAGGAGCCCATGCACTTGGATGATAACTGCTGCACTCTAATGAAGGATATTCTTGGCTCTCATTTGTGAGACCACAGGGGTCGATTTAAATTTCCAAACATCGATTGGGTTTACTTCACATGTAGAACTTCCCTTATTAAGCACCAAAGGAAGACAAAGTTATTCTATAGGTGGAACATTTTATTTAAGGTTAGGTTATATTTAAAGGGTGCTTTTAGAATTCAAATTAGAATTTGGAGATCCTGGACTATTTCTTTTGTCTAAAGAAACTTAATAAAACCACAAATCATTTTCAATGTAATTGTAACATTAGTTTGAGAATGGTCAAATTTATTTTTTGATTAAAATTTCTGGGTAGTAATTACAACTTGGCATTCAGTTGTTTAAAATGTTAATGTCCCAATATTTATTACTAAAGTAAACTACAGTGAAATTACTTCAAGTTAACGAAGTCATTCCCCCAGAATGGGACTTCTTGCTTCAAGGACTTTTCTGTCTACCTAACTGGTAAATCCCTGGGGCAAGAGTCCTAATTAGTTCAGGATTATTGGAGTTACTTTCTGGTTTGATGCTGTTGAGTGCCATCCAGGCAAAAACCATTATAATCAGTAACTTTGTAAATCTACCATTTTTAGTTACTAGTAAATGAATATAAATTTTAAATGGTTAAATGTTTCCCTATAAAGAAATATATATGTATATATATTTCCATCAAAGGATTCCTGATAATGCCTGGCAGCCTCTGGTAGAATGTCAGGACCCATATAATAAGTATTACAAGTTAAAGCTAGGGTTTAAGTGGAAATGCTACCATTTTAAAAAATAAAATAGTGACACAGAGTAACATCAGTTCAGTATGAAGAGATGTTACAATACAATGCCAGATAAATTTAATATGGTTTTCCTAATTCCAAAGTAATATATATTACTGGAGAAACTTTAAAAATCTATATATGGAAGATGATTGCTTTATAGGTAAATTATAGGGAGGAAAGTAAGAGAGAGGGTTAGGTGGGGCTTTTAGCTGTGTTTGTAATGTTTTATTTTTTTAGAAAGAGATCTGAAGCTAATATGGTGAACTATTTGCCTTTGCTACACCTAGATTTACAGGTACATAATTTAATCTGTCTATTTTTAATATTTAAAATTTTCATATACAAATATTTAAACACCCATGAACTCACTACATAGGATACTCATTCAGCATTTCAGTGTTTAGCCTTCTAGCCTTTGTTATATGAACAAGCAAATACATATTTTGTTATAAATGTAGAATTATATTTTTTATATTTTTCTTTGAACAATATATTATACATTTCCATAGAAGATACAGTATGTGTTATGGATTAATATATATTATTAACATCATTCTGTTTTATTAGGCATTTTGGCTAGTTTTTTTTTTTTCTGTCACAAGTTAATTTTTGCAATATTGGTTTAAGTGTTACCAAAATGTCTTACCAGAGTAGAAAGTTAATACCAAATTACACTCAGAATGACCAGTTTAAAAATCTTTGCTAACTTCATAGGTGAGGAGTCTCTCATCATTTTCATATGAGATCATTTGTTTTTCCAGATGTGGAGTTATGTTTCATTTGCCCACAGTTTGAATGGAAACATTTTCTAACAACGATTTGTTTTAATCAAGTATTATAAAACATGTGGACATGAAAATGACTGTCAGAAAGGAAGAAGTTTGTTGTATTCACAGATCCCTTGAAACAAGCACCACATATAGGGGTCAATCAGAAGGCAAAGGGAATGAGGTAGTATGTACAAGAGCCTCTATTGTGGTTTCCATGGGCCGGAACAGGCAAGGCAGGGTGAGCAAGCCTAGGACTGGCTATTTTAATGTTTTCATCAGGCTCTAGTACATAAGGAGTGGCCCTTGTTATCTGGTACCTAGCCCTGGGTGAGTAGAGTAAGTGGATATTTGGCCCCTGGAGAACCCTATAAAAGTGTGAGAGCCCTATAGAAGAGGTCATGGGGGTGTGCGCTCTGGATCTGTTGGTTTACACCTCAAAGGCATGCTCCCTGGGAGGTAGTTTACTATCTCCAGAAATTAACTCTGGGAGAGTCAGTCCATTTAGGGTCAGCAAGGTCCCAGATGTTAAGGCATCAGAATACAGAAAATAAAAGGCATAGTTAATACAAATTGGTTATTACATATGATGCTCTTAGTGAATGAACAGAAATGCATAATGCACGTGAGGACTAAGGGAATTGGGCCAAAGATACATGGTTGTGAAAATTATTCATTTATTAGGCAAATGTTTTCTGAGTACCTACCACATGCTAAGCATTCAGTCGTAAGCAAAATCAGGCACAGACCCTGCTTTCATTTAACTTACACTCTGAACCTAATTTTCAAATGTATCATACTAATGTAGCTTTCTCATAGTTTATATTAATACAAGATGTTTCAAAACCGAAGAGTAATATGCAGCTGGTGTGTCTATTGCTAGCTTCTGTATATTCTATGTATGATAGCTTCTTTAGGCTTTCAGGCTTGCCTTACTCTTTAACAGAAATAATAGTGTTGTATAATTTGATCATAATTTGGAGGAACTTTGGATAATTGACAAGGTTTTTTTTGCAGTGACTTTATAAAATAATAAACATATTTTAAGTTAGCATTAAAATGTTCTGATATAGTTCAGTACTTACCACCCTCCTTAATAAGTCAAGAAGTGTGTTGGCCAACTGGGATGTTTGAAGTATCTCATTATTTGAATAAAATTACAGGGTTTCTTCTTTAATATAGCCCTTCTTACACAGACATATTTGACTGGAGATAGTGAAAATAAGGATTAAAATTTGCTGTGAGGACATGGGTAGAGTTTTAGCTTTGAATCGTGTTCAGTTCATAACCAGAAATGAATATACACTTTAGTGACAATGGATTTTTAATGATGAGGTTTTACCAAGTACTGATTTTTTTTTTTTTTTGCCAATTACTGACTTAAATCCTGATTTCCAAAGAATGACTTGAATACTTATTAGTATTAAAACTTGTTGAGAGTCAGTTTTGGGACCTGAGCCTTCTTTCTCTGTGTACCAGAGTTTCTCAGATTGATGGCTTATTTCCCAATGGTCGGAAGGAATTTTTATGTTTAATTTAGTAGAGGTTTATTGTTAGATAAAATATACTTTCAGTTGCAATACATGCCTTGTAAACATATATTTCATGTTTATCACAGGAATATTTTGCAGGTACATTGGGTGATTATTATACAAACTAATTTTAAAATGAGCTATCTCCCATTTCTGTCTTCAAATGATAGATGTAGAAAGCACTGGAATATTGTATGTGGCTTTAAGTAATAGAACCTGTTGAGACTTCCTAAGCCAGCCAGCATAGTACTGTGTTATTCCCATTGTCAGTCTCTTGGCAGATTCATTTCCATTGCCCCAACTTTCTAACTTGGTTAGGGGACCAAGTTTCCCTCATCCCTCATCTTTTAGTTGCAACTCCACTAATCATCTTTGAACCCCTTCATTCCTTCTCAGCCTTCTTCATGGATATAAGACACATAAATTCTTTAAATGAAGCACATAAAAATTATTTGGCTTTTAATGCTGTTTTGCATTGTTTCATTAATGACTCAATTTAATAAAATGGTTTTCCAATTCATTTCTTTTTTATTGTTCCTTGTGTTACCTGATGTACTGTATTGATGTTGATGGTAAAATTGAATTTTTTTCAAGACTTCTCTTTTCTTCTTCCATAGGTGGAGAAAAAAAATCAATATACATCAAACTGAATTTAGATTCAAAATGAGTCCTTTCAGATTATAGAGTCCATGAAACAGAAATAAATATGTGAATATAATTGGGTCTATTGCTTATCCTAAAATGATTAGTAGAAATACATATAATAACCTCTTTATAATGATCTTGCTTTTAATAGCATTTAATATTTCAAAAAATATTTTCAGAAACACTTACTATACTTTATCCTCACAATAATCCATATGAGGCAGTCACAGAGTATCATTTTACTTCATTACATATGTGTGTGTATATACCTTATATACACATAAATATACACATATGCATATAAACATACATATGTAAAATATATCATTTTATCTTGTTTTAGTCAAACAGATAAAAGTTCAGGTGACAGACTTTTGAACTTACCCACCCAAGTTCACACAGATATAAAGTGATCTATCCAAGGCTAAAGCCAACATTTGTATCTCTTGATCTAAAGTTTGTTCTACTTTTTAAATAAGAAATATAGGCATGCACAGAGGGGGGAAAAAAAACAATTCCAGCACTAAGATGTTCAACTATTCAATAAATACATTTTGAAGTCCCACTATGCCAGGTACCATTCTACTTTAGTAGGAGAACCACAATGAAAAAGAAGCAGATGAACATCAGTGACCTCATAAAGACTGCATTCTAATAGGGTGGTTTAACTAGTTAAATTGTGTAGTATTTGTCAAGTAGTTACAATGTAATGGAGAAAAAAAAGCAACAAAGTGTAGGATTTGGAGATGTGGGATGTTGGATAAAATCAATCAGTAATCATAGAATGTCTCCTTGGGAAAGTAACATTTGAGTGAAAACCTGCATTACAAGTATTAGGTACAATATTCCAGACAAAGGTGTGCCTGTCATGCTTAAAGCACAGCTAGGAGACCGGTGGGGCTGCAGCAAGTGAGTACAAGAGCTGAGGAAGATGAGGTCAGCAGGTTGGGGAGGAGGAGTGGAGGAAATCAGGACTGTGGGTGAATTACATAGGACAAAGCAAGGACTCTAGCATTTTCTCTGAGTGAAACTGAGCCATTTCAGAAGGTTTTGAGCACAGGAGTGACATGATCTAACCTAGATTGGAACGGATTACTCTGACTCTTGTATTGGAAATAGACTGGAGAGAGCTAGGGGTTGGGGGGGGCGGGCATTGGATAGTGGGACCATTTGGGGGCCTATTACAATATTTCAAGTGATAAATAATGGTAACGTGAGATGACATGAAATGACATGAAATGATTGAAGATAGAGCCAAGAGTATTTGCAGGTAGACTGAATGTGTGTTGTAAGAAAAAGAAAAGAATCAGGATGACTGTTTTTGGCCTGAAAAAATAGAAAGAGGAGTTGCCATGAATTAGACCAGAAAGACTATGATGAGAGAAACAATTTTCTAAGGAAAGATCATGAGTTTAATTTTGGATGCATTAAGTTTGAGATCAGCTTTAGACATCCAGATGGAAATGTTGAAGAGGGCTTTTGAAATATGAATCTGGGGTTCAGGAAAAAAGTTCAGGCTGAAGATATAAATTTGGGAGTTATCAATTTGCAGATGATTTTCAGGTCAGAACCACTGGATGAGTTCACCAGGAGAGTAGGTGTAGATAAAATGAGATCTAATAAGGGTTGTGTACTAATGCAGCTCAGGGATACTAATAATAATCATTAATCCACTTCTCAAAAGGTGGTTATTAAGTTAGCACATAAGGAAGAAAAACTATATAGTAAACATAATCTTGAAAATTCCCTAAATCACCCATAAATTCTGTATATATGGTTTGGTTTATACCAGAAGTTGGCAAACTATGGCCCTGGGACAAATCCAGCCTGGGGCTTTTTTGTTGTTGTTGTTTGGTTTCTTGTTTGTTTTTATGGCCTGTGAGCTAAGAATGTTTTTTATATTTCTAAATGACTGGGAAAAAAAAACAAAAGAATAATATTTTATGACATGAAAATTCTATGGAATTCATATTTCAGTGTCCATAAATAAAGTTTTATTACAACATAGCCATGCTCACTTGTTGATATATTATCTAGGGCTGCTTTAGCACTATAGTAGCAGAGCTGAATATTGCAACAGAGACCATATGTCTCACAAAACCTAAAATATTTACTGTCTGGCTCTTTGCAGAAAAATATGACAACTCCTGGTTTATGCAATTCTATACATTTTTATGTATGTAAACTACATTATATAATTAAGAGTGTGTGTGTGTGTGTGTATATATATATATGGTATTTGGGATTTTTAATTTTAAAGATATTTAAAACATTTTTTTTATGGAGCACGCATTTAATTTGCCCGAATTAAGCTCACTGAACCTATTACCATGTCTCGAGCATCTGCCGTGTTGCAAGTGCTTTGTAAATGATCACATTTAGTATGAATTTGGTATCCCCATTTTATAGACAAGAAAGTTGAGGATCAGAGAGACCAACGAGGATATCAGAATATAAACTCATTTTTAAGCCTGGGATTTCTTTTACTCTACCACAATCCCAACATGTGGAACTACATGTATGGGGTATCAGCACCTGACCCACTGTATGCAACTCCAGCAGTTCCTCTCAAGGAAGATACCAGAGATTTGGAGAATATTCAGAGGTTTAGAGAAAGGTGAATAAAATGATTTTTTAGAAATATAATATTAAAGACATCACCCGCTTTAGAATTGCATGTATTTACTCTTCATAAATTCATTTAAAGAAAGTTGTTTTAATAGGCACTTTCCTGGGGTCTGGAGATAAAATGATAAATGACATATTCCTTGACTCGAAGAAATTTTCAAGCCAGTGGTCAGGTAAATAGACAACTTTATTATGAAGGAAGTACAAATAGGTGTGATTTCATGGACCTGACACATTAGAATACTAGAGCTTTCATTAAAAAATACTTTGGTCTTTATGCCTCACCTCTAAAATTTACATCAAAAAAAAAATCATTCAACAAAATACAGCCATGCCCTTCCCCAACATGCCTTTTGTTGCATCCGTCAAAGGGTATTCTGACTTGAATGAACCTTACCTATGATGAAATCCTGGAAGTTGTAGGTCATGTTGAATATGCTATCCCAAATCATGGCTACTGCATTGTGTGCAATGACACAACTTTAGTCATAATTACTGGTATAATTAGAAAAGAAAAAGAGTCCCAGGGATTTTGGCTGCATGAAATGAGATAATTATGAAAATATATATTTTTTTAAATATGAGCTATTCAAACTTGGGAAGGTAGCTGCTCTTACTGTTTTACTGGGCCTAATTGAACCCTTGAGAAGAACATTTTGCATTTTGAGAAGACGTATGATCCTGTCACTTGTCTATTTATAGACAAACTACTTCAGTGTTTTTGAGTGGCACCTCAGTGGCTTGGAAATAAGAATATGGCTCCAAATATATGCTGTTTTCTTTCCCCTTTGTAAGACTTATGACCCATGACTTGATGATAGAATATTTCTAAAGAAGGATTTTATGCATCCTGTCTCTATGATCTTTACAAATCCTTTATCAGGTGGTGACATTAACCTCAGATCTGAAATTTTCTGCTTTTAAAGCACAGAAGACTTTGTTTGCAAACTGCGTGATTACATGGTGTAAATTTACAAAAATTAAAGCAAATTAACTCCTACAACACAGCGCACAAATAGAAGTTCTTGTTTGTTGTCTGGCCTGACGAAGACTTTTAACATGCCATTATGTTGCTGTTACTGTCATCCTTTTATCTTCAGCCTAACAAATAACATTCTGACAGTGTTAAAGGACATCTGAACTTTTCTGCAGAAAACAGCCCTTGAGCTGACATCAATCGTTTCACAAAGGAATAAAATAAAACTGGCAAAGATATTAACTTGACATCATGGGGGAAAATTGTTAGAATGGATTTGTATCCAAGTCCATTGCCCCATTTAATCTTTGCAAAAGCCATGTGTTGTAGGTGTTACTGTCCCCATTCTTTGTACGAAGAATCCAGCTCAAGACCGTTGGGTATTTGAATACTAAGCCTGTAGCTACACAATTAAGAAATGGTGGAGGCAGAACTAAATCCAGGTTGTCTTATTCCATTTTTCACTCTCTTTCAAGGGTACAGTCTTGCAACACGACCACCCACACATGAAATCCAAGTACTCTTATTTCTAGGGCACTCTCTTTATGCCATCACCATTAATCATTAACTACAGAGAAACCTAATACAATTAGCGGGAGAGAATTACAGAAAGGTATATATTTGGACAACAATGGAGGGGTAGAGGAAACAGGATAAATTTTGAGCCTGAGAAGTTGTCTGGGATCAGGTGGTGGGGGCCAGGACCGGGAGAAGGTGTCGTAAAGGCTCCAGGCACACCGTGGCTAAAAATACGGAAAGGTAGAGAGACTCAGAACAATGTGGGATTATTGCGAAAAGAAAACTCCATATACTGTACAACTTTGCTTCAAATTGGAGATGCCTGAAGGTTTACTATTTGGGGAATGAAGTCAAGAAGAGTAGGATTTCCCATAAGCAACTTTTGTCTATCTACTGAGATCGAAGAAACCTTAGATAAGTACACAATCACTTCAATCCTAACAGTGCTGTTGATTGATGTGATTTCTTCTAGCCTTTGCTATTCTTTCCCGAGACCTCAGTAAGTGAAAAGTACATTTAAAAAAATCCCCATGAGGTGCCTGGATAGCTCAGTCAGTTCAGTGTCTGACTCTTGGTTTCGGCTCAGGTCATGATCTCATGGGTCATGAGATGGAGCCCGACATCAGGCTCCATGCTCAGTGGGGAGTCTGCTTTGAGATTATCTCCCTCTGCCTCTCCCCTTTCCCTCCCTCCCTCTCTCTCTTTCTTAATTAAATAAATAAATCTTTAAAAAACATCTCCAAACACCTGGAGCATGAGACAGATGGTCCTCTGAGATCAAGAACAGCCCCAGGGAAAGAATTCAGGCTCACCAAATTGTTCAACTTCCCATGTTCCCAGAATTGAAAGTTTTTCCCCCACAAAGAAGTAGCCAGGCTCTAGGAAACCTGTTACTCAGTAGAATATTCTGCAATGATTAAAAATGTTCGAGAATTTTACACTGTTCAAAAAAGTAACTGCTAGTTGTATTGCCTATTGAGCATTTGAAAAGTACCTAGAATGAATAAGGAACTGCTTTTCTAATTTTATTTTATTTTAAGTTATGTGGATAGCACAGCTCCAGAGTAGAGAGAGTAATGCTTGACCCAAAGCAAAGCCCTAAAATCAAATCACTTTTGAGACCTAGTGGGGAATGAGATAGTGGCACAAACTCCCAATAATAATGGAAGTTCTCTCTCTTCTGAGCTCTCCATTGACTCTGGATGGAGATCCTCAGAGCTGGTAACTATTAACATAACCTCGGATGCAAATTCCCCTCTTCACTGAAAAGCCTTTCAAATTCAAGTTTCTACCTCTGGCCTTCATTGCAATTCATCCAGGAATCAGCAGAACC